CCAGGCCAGTGTGGGCTGCCAGTCTGTGATTTGTACACACCAGAGCCACTTATTTACCTGCACGAGTGTCTTAGGGTCTGTTGCTGTGAAGAGACATCATGACCATGGCAACTCTTATAAAGGAAAACATTTAATTGGGGTGGCTTACAGTTCAGAGTTTATTGTGGCAGGAAGTATGGTGGTACACAGGCAGACATGGTGCTGGAAACGTAGCTTGGAGTTCTGTATCCAGATTGGCAGGCAGCAGGAAGAAAGAGAGAGACACTGGGCTTGGCTTGAGCATTTGAAACCCCAAAGCCCACCCCCAGTGACACATTTCCTCTTACAAGGCCACACTTCCTAATAGTGCCCCTCCCTTGTGACCTAGCATTTGAATCTGTGAGCCTATGGGGCCCATTTCTATTCAAACCACCACAACAAGGAAAGAGGCTCATAGTAGTTATATGAGTGTGGCCATGAGCCCTTGGTGAGGATAGCCTCTGTCCTTGTAGCAAGAGAGTCCCTTTGTGCCAGGCACAAGGCACTTCACAAACCTAGTTTCTCGTTGTCAGTACCTTTGATGCTTGCTCTAGCTACTCCTGTTTTACACGGTTGAGTATGCTCTCAGACTTGTTTCTGGCTAGGAAGTAATAGGCCTGCGTTTAAATCTGCTCTGGCCACTCTCAGCTTCCCAGCTTCTTGCACAGAGCATGATGAGCAGCAGGAAATAGGAGGTTGATCAGTCCTGGATGGTGAATAAAGACATTTAGCAGCTCCTATCAGCCAGCAGTCTTCAGGAGCAAGCTATTTTTACATGGCTAAAGCAATGTGAACAATGTTTTTAGTTAGTTGCACCCTAAAGCAGCAGAGTTTAGTTGTCCTGTCAGAGTCCAGACAGGATAAGCTTTTGGAATGATCTAGAAAACTGTTCCTTAAAGAAAGAATTAAGGGATTGGTAGAATGGCTCAGCAGGTAAAGACTTCTGGCACCAAACCTGAGTTGTGATGGAAGGATGAGTCCAGGCTCGGGGGTGGGTAGTGGTGTGATCCTGTGGTTTCTAGCAGTGCAAAGGCTGCCTTCTACACGCAGGCATACTCGAGCATCCTTGCTCTCACTAGTCTGTTTCTCCCCACTCCCAACCAGCCTGCCTGGCAGTTTCTGTGTGTTGAGTGCCTTGGTTTTGGCTACCATTTACAGCCATAGTGGCTTCTTAGCAGCTGCCTGCTTGCATCCTCCCAGCATGCTGTGCTGTCCCATCAACCTGACATCCTAGTCTAACCTTCTGTTAGAAGGCCTTTCCCTTCCTTTGCTTAGCCTACCCCTGTCTTCCTTAGGACATCATGCAGTGCCTCCCTTCCCTGGTTGGGGTTAGACTGTAGGAATCTGGGCACTGGTATGTGTTAGTATCAGCTCCCAGTAGATATATTGCTTGCTGTAGAGTTTTCACTTAGGCCCAGGGTGTGAGGAGGTAGGATGAAGTAGGGGAGCTACCGTAGTGCTGCTGGGCATTTCACATACCAGGGATCCCAAATATAAGAAGAGCAGGACAAACAAAAAAAAAAAAGCCGGGCGGTGGTGGCGCACGCCTTTAATCCCAGCACTCGGGAGGCAGAGGCAGGCGGATCTCTGTGAGTTCCAGGCCAGCCTGGGCTACCAAGTGAGTTCCAGGGAAGGCGCAAAGCTACACAGAGAAACCCTGTCTCGAAAAACCAAAAAAAAAAAAAAAAAGGAAGAGCAGGACAGTGTGGAGGGATTCTTCAGTTCTGGAGGTGAACAGGATGGAGGTCCCAAAGAGTTCATTCTTGGGGACCCTGGGTGTGGTACTAGCTCATGTCAACCAACCAAGCTTTCTAGAATTCAGAGTCTAGACTCTTCTCTGACCTGCCATCACTTTGTGTGCTCTGCACTGAGTGATTTAGCACTGGTGGCTCTTTATAGCTTCAAAAACACTTACCTGTGAACTCTTGGGATTCTGCATTGAGAAAATGGGACCGTTGAGAATAGGAGAACACATTGGAAACCAGGGAGGTAGAGTGACGGTGCTGTCGGGGATAAGGACTTTGCACCAAAGCTTGGCCTGGAGGCAGGAGGGCAGGTGTATGAGAATGTCTCTCCTCCATACAGGAATAACCATGTTGACACAAGAGCTCTTGCAAGTTCCTGAAAAATAAGGTGAACACACAAAGCTTTGACACCATGTGTGAATATTATGGATCCTTTTATAGTTTCTCCTCCAGTCTGCAAATAATGTATCCAGAAGTATGAGAGATTTTACTGATACCCTTCAAGATAGTTTAGTGGGTTCAAGGCATTTGTTATTGAGCCTGATGACCTGAGTTCAGTCCCTGGTGTAAGGAGATAAGATGAAGTATGGGGCTGTCATGGTGCTCCTGGACATCTTGCAAACCAAGGAGCCCAAATATAAGGAGAGCAGTACAGTGTGGAGGGAGTCTTCAGTTCTGGAGGTTGAGTAGGGTAGAGGAAAGGCCACAGAGTTCATTCTTGGGGACCCGGGGCCACCACATGGTAGAAGGAGAGAACTGACTTGGATAAGCTCTACTCTGATCTCTGTATGCGCACGCTGGCATGCACCCACACAAAATTTAGAAAGTTATCTCTGCACCCACACAAAATTTAGAAAGTTATCTCTGGCTGGGCAGTGATGGTGCATGGCTTTAATCCCAGCACTCGGGAGGCAGAGGCAGGTGGATCTCTGTGAGTTTGAGGCCAGCCTGGTCTACAGAGTGAGATCCAGGACAGGCACCAAGATGAGAAACCCTATCTGGGGTTTTGGGGTGGGGGGAGGTTATCTCTCCCTGGGGCAGTGGTGGTGCACGCCTTTAATCCCAGCATTTGGGAGGCAGAGGCAGGCGGATTGCTGTGAGTTTGAGGCCAACCTAGTCTACAGAGCAAGTTCCAGGACTACACAGAGAAACCCTGTCTGGGGTGGGGGAGTTACCTTTGGTGGGGAGGGGGAGAAGAGAAAACCTAATGTAAAATAGGAATAACAACAAAATCTTAACTCACAAATGAAGGTATGCAGGCAAAGCATAGTGATGTATACTTGTAGTTCTAGGCACTTGGAAGGTTGGGGCTAGAGGAGCACTTGAGCCCAGTATTTTAGGGATACCTCGGACCTGGACAGCATGGTGAGACCCTTCTCTTTTTTTAGAAAGTAGCAACTAAGGCTAGGTGTGGTGGCATATGCCTGTAATCTCAGGGCTCTGTAGATGAAATTCTAAACGGTCTTATTAATAAATAAGAAACACAAAGCCAAATACAGAGTTAAAAGCCCAAGAGGTCAGAGCACTAGCAAATAGCCTTTAGCTTACCAGCTGCTGCCATCCTTCCCCTGAGAGAGAAACCTCCTCCTGTGTGACCCGTCTTTTTATTGCCTTTCTGTTCTGCCTTCTCATTGGCTTTAAACCCAACCACATGATTTCCTCGTCACTGCCTGTCTATATAGACCTCCAGGTCTCTATAGTTCCTACTGAGATTAAAGGTTCGCGTCACTGCTTGGCTGTGTCCTTGAGCAGCAGAGACTGTGCCTGCCATGTGATCGGGATTAAGGGCGTGTGCCACCACGCAGACTTCTGTTAAATGGCTTGCTCTCAGCTCGGACCCCCAGGCAACTTTATTAACTTTCAAATAAACTTACATTTCAGCACAAATAAAATATCACCATAGGGGTCAGGAGTAAGAGTCAGGAAGACTGCAGGTTCAAAGCTAGCTTCAGCTACCTACAGAGGAGGGAGCAAAGAAAGAGGGCTGATGGTGGGTGTGTCAGTGGGTAGGAGTGCTTACTACCCTGCCTGATGACCTGAATTCAATTCCCTAGACCCACAGGTGGAGGAAGACCTCCATGTGTACATGCATGTGTGCCCACACAGAGACTCACAGTGTTTTTTCTTTTTAAAAGAAATTTAAAGAGAGAAATATACAGAAAGCAAACTTAATATTGTCTGTCATTGAAAAAGAACTTGAAGCAACAGTGAAGTGCCTAGTGTGACAATAACGTATTGACAACTTTAAATGCAGCTAGTACTGAAGCAGTGCAACTTTTGACTTATTGCTGGAGGAGTGCAAATGGAACTTAGGAAGATGCTTGGGCAGTGTCTATGGTTTGAATTGGAAATGCCCACATCCAGGAGCTCACAAGCATCTATAACTAGCCCAAGGATCTGATGCCCTCTGTCTTCTGTAGCTACCCACACATGTGTGCATATACACACAGAATAAATCTTTAAAACTTTACCCTCCACATCTCATGTTCAAACTGGTGGCACAGTTGGGAAACTGTGGAACTTTTAGGAGGTGGTCGGGCTTGGCTGGTGGCAGTAAGTCACTAGGAGTGGGCTTTTCAGGTTTCAGTCTGGGCCTTCTTCTCTCTCTCTCTCTATCTACCTTAATGTGGAGTGTGAGCCAAAAGAAGCTTTTTTAAGTTGTTTCTCTCAGGATTCTGTCACATAGGCAGTTTCATGTAGAACCAAACATATTCTTACAATATGAGCCAGCAAAGGTGCTCTTTGCTCTTTTTGTTTTGTTTTTTTCAGGACAGTTTCTTTGTGTAGCCCTGGCTGTCCTGGAACTTACTCTGTAGACCAGGCTGGCTTTGAAAGCTCAAAGCCCACCCCCAGTGACACACCTTCTCCAACATGGCCACACCTCCTAATCTTTTGCAAACAGTTACACCAACTTCAGACCAAGCATTCAAACATGAGCCTATTGGGGGGGGGGGGGCACTTCTCATTCAAACCACCACACTATTGAAAAAACAATAAGGTTATTATGACATTGATTTCGGACCTTTTCAAAATGTATTGGGCATCTTATCTAGAAATGCTGGTTGGTTGTTGGATTGCCTTTTGTGTGGCAGGGCTTCAGTCAGTGTACTGTTGGGAATAAGTAATGAACAGTTAAAGCAGCCCTGGCTTGGCCATAGGTGTATGGACTTTGGTGTGCTGATTTTGATGTGTTTTTTGTTTTTTTTTTGTCCCCCCCCCCTTTTTTTTTTCTTTTAGGACAACCCTCCGTACGACAAGGGGGCCTTTAGAATTGAAATCAACTTTCCAGCAGAGTATCCATTCAAACCACCCAAGATCACATTTAAAACCAAGATCTATCACCCTAACATTGATGAGAAGGGGCAGGTCTGTCTGCCCGTAATTAGTGCTGAAAACTGGAAGCCAGCCACCAAGACCGACCAAGGTGAGCCGTGCACCTTTCTTCTCGCTGCCTTAGATAGGTCTCTTTTCTGGGAATACTGCTTTGTGATGGGTGCTTGAAGGTTCTCTCTAATACTCTATCAGACAGAGTTGAGAGAAAAACTACCTTAGCAACCCAAGTGTACAGAGAAGTACTGCTGAAACCCTGTCAGTCCTGTGAGTTTGCCTCGCCTCAGTCGAGCTGTCAACTGTGCATGGACACTGACCTTGGAGATGCTCAAGGATTGTGATACTGCCTAGATGGGGAAAGTGAGGAAGGTGTTGGATGCACACGACAGTTAGCACTTGGAATCACTTAGAAGAAAGGTTAGTGAGGACATTTCAGGCTCAACAGAAGGGCTGAACCAAATCCTGTCGCTCCCAGTATGTGGTTTGGGGGTTCAAGACCAGACACAGTCAGACTTGGGTAGCTTCCTATGAAAGCACGGAGTTGGCTGCATTGTCTGTAATTCTTAGAATTAGATGTGACTATATATGTCCATGCTCATTTTTCTTAGAAAAGTGTTTGATTACATGTCATGATTGTTCTCCTTCTTGTCCCTTTCTTACTACTTCTAGTAGAGAGACTTTATATTGGGAGATTTATTACGGCAACTTCATGTAGTAAAAAGGCAGGTTTATTTTTGGGTAACTTACAGCCAGTAAAGGGGTTGGTTACAGGATCTGGGAGAGATGGAGTGCAGTCCAGCGGTGCTCTCTGGAGAACTCTGCTTGATCTGCCATCCAGCATCCAGGATCACAAGGAACCAAGAGAGCTGGCACATCCAGATCTTGGGTCTTAAGGGCTCCTGTCTCGGACCCGCCCCAGGGGCAAGTCATAGGTATGTGTGGGGAGAAGGGCTTCTATACCAGACCCTCTGGCACTGACCAGTTTAGAGTCTCCTCCTTTCGCTGTGAACCGATGGCATGAAGGCCAGGGCCAGGGGGCTCTCAGGCCTGGGTGCAGATGCTTTACCACCTCTTAGTCCTATTTTATCTTCACGTCTAGATACACAGCCTGCTGCAGTTTCAGGTTGGGGCTGTGCTCCTCCCTCCAAAGAGCCAGATAGGTTAGGGCTAGTTTTCATTTTTGGTTTTTCGAGACAGGGTTTCTCTGTGTAGCCCTTGGCTGTCCTGGAACTCGCTCTGTAGACCAGGCTGGCCTCAAACTCACTTTGAGGTGATCCACTTCTGCCTCCTGAATACTGGGATTAAGGCGTGTGCCGCCACCACTCTGCAGTTCGGGGCAGTTCTTCTGTAGAATATGCTTATTGGTTATTAAGAATTTCATTTCACCTATAGTGACAGAATTACTGGTTTTGTGATTTGGGACAGCTCAGAGCTTCTTCCTAGAAAACCAATTGCTTGAGTCTTTGTAGTGCGGCTTTGATTCTGTCAATAATAGCACTGACGGGATTCAGGATGGGATGCCATATTCTCCTATTTCTGTTACCTATGCTGTATTATAACCCCCATTGAAACTTAGTGGCTAGCGACTGGAGAGATGATTCATTCACTGGATGCTGTTCCATGGGACCTGAGTTCAATTCCCATCACCCTTATGGCAGTTCACAACCGCCTGTAACTCTAGTTCCAGGGAGATCTAATATCCTCTTCTGGCCTCCAAGGGTACCAGGCTTGTACATAGTACACAAACATACACGTAGGTACAACTCTAATCACATAAAATTAGGGACTGGAGAGATGGCTCAACGGATAGGAGCACTGGTTGCTCTTCTAGAGGACCCAGGTTCAATTCCCAGCACCCACATGGCAGTGCACAACTGTCTGTAACTCTAGTTACAGAGGGGGATCAGACACCTTCACACAGACAATACATACAGGCAAAACACAAACGCACATGAAATAAAAGTAAGCAAATTATTTTTTAGAAAGCTAACTAATCGCCGGGCGGTGGTGGTGGTGCACGCCTTTAATCCCAGCACTTGGGAGGCAGAGCCAGGCGGATCTCTGTGAGTTCGAGGCCAGCCTGGTCTACTATGTGAGTTCCAGGAAAGGCACAAAGCTACACAGAGAAACCCTGTCTCGAAAAACCAAAATAAATAAATAAATAATAAATTTTTTTTTTAAGAGCTAACTAATTAAAGATAAAATGAAACAGTGGCTTAAAGTAACTTTTTTTTTTTTTTTTTTTTTTGCTCATTCTGTAGATTGGCTGTCTCAAACAGGGATGGTTATTCTTGGGGATACTCAGCTACTCTCATTGGGGGTAAATTGTGCCACTGGGTATCATTCACAGTGTGGCCCTGGGTGCTAGCTGGGCACTTGGCTGTCTGTGTGTTGCTTATTCTCCATGAAGTGCATTGGACTTCTTCATAGCAGTGGTGGAGCTCTAGGTTGAAAGCTGGAGCAGCAAGCTGCTTACACCTCAGTGTAGTGTTAGTACTGTTGTGTCCCTCCTCCTGGGTCCTATTGGTCAAGCAAGTACAGTCTTGTACAGGGAAGGAGACTGAGTCTTAAAGGAGTTGAGGCAGGGTATTCAGGATGGGAGAATTGGGGACACTGGCAGAGGAGGGGCCACTGGCACCGAGTACCTTACTGTCTCTACATGCTTTTCCTTTTCCTTCTTTTTTAAATGTGTGTGTTTGCCTGAATGTGTGTCTGTCACCATATACATGTAGTGCTGCGGAGGTCAAAAGACGGCATCCATTCCCTGGAACTAGAGTTACAAATGCTTAGGAGATGCTTTGTGAGGGCGAAGGAACTCAGGTGCTCTGGAGGGCCCTCTCTCCAGCCTCTGTCCCTCCACACACTTATGTGTGTGGTTCTGTTGTGGCCACATGGCAGACGCTGCTGTGCTCATTGTCCTGGTGTGTCTGGTCCTCCTCTTCCCTGACTGCTCTCCAGCCATCATCATCCTAGAGTCATCTTCCCTTTGTGTAGGGGGGGGGGCGGGGGTTCGAGACAGGCTTTCTCTGTGTAGTTTTGGTTCTGTCCTGGAACTCACTCTGTAGCCCAGGCTGGCCTTGAACTCACAGAGATCCACCTGCCCCTGCCTCCCTAGCGCTGGGATTAAAGGCGTGCGCCACCACCGCCTGGCTTCATCTTCCTTTTTTAATGTCTTGCAGTTCTGCTGCATTTGCTAATGTTGAAATGAACATGTCACTTGTTCTTAATAGCATCTGCTTGTGGTTTTCTTCTGCCCATGTCCTTAGGAGCATTTCCATTGATGACTCCTTTCAAATCTAGCTTCCTATTAGGTCTTTTTAATGGAATAGGCTCTAGCTCATGTCAGTCATCCACCATACAGCCTTTTGTTGATCTCTAGATTCTCTTAGGGTTTTCTGTCTAGAGAGTCTCAAAGTTGTATTGTTAGTGTTACTATTTTATGTGTATGGGTGTTTTGCTTTCATGTATGTCTGTGTACCTTGTGCATGCTTGGTATCTAGGGAAGCCAGAAGGGGGTGTTGGATCCCCTGAACTAGAGCTACTGATAGTTGTAAGCTGCCATGTGGGTGCTGGGAATTGAACCCAGATCCTCTGGAGGAGCAGCCTTGTTCTTAACAAGTGTTAAGAACAGTGTTAACAGCAGTGTTCTTAACCACTGAGCCATCATTTTTCCAGTCCCTCAGAGTTATGTTTTATTAGACAGGTATGGAAAATAAAAAGGATAAGATTGGGAGCTGGAGAGAGAGGGCTTAGTAGTTAAGAGCACTTGTACTTCCAGAGGACCATGGTTCAATTCCCAGCATACGTATGGTGGCTAGCAACCATCTTTAACTATAGTTGCAAGAGATCCAGTGCCCTCTGAGGCATCCATGAACACTGTATATGCAGTGCTCAGACATATATGCAGGCAAAACACCATACACATAAAATAAGATACATTTTACTTTTTAAAGATTTATTTATTATGATTACAGTGTTCCGTCTGCATGTATGCTTTTGCAGGCCAGAAGAGGATGCCAGATCTCATTACAGATGGTTGTGAGCCGCCATGTGGGTGCTGGGAATTGAACTCAGGACCTCTGAAAGAACAGCCAGTGCTCTTAACAGCTGAGCCATCTCTCTAGCCCTAGATAAATCTTTTTTAAAAAGCAAAGAAACGAAAAAGTTAAGACTGTTCACAGCAAAGTTAAAATGTTCTTAGTATATGAGCTGGAGAGATGACTCAGCAGTTCTTGAACTCGGTTCCCACCAGTCACATTGGGTGCCTGGCAGCCATCTCAGCTCTGCAGCTCTTCTGGCCCCTGAAGTCACATGCACAAATGTGTGCATTCTAACTTGAAGACACACAGACAAATTAAGCATAATGGAAAAGCAACATGAAAAAGAAAATGCTCCTGTGATCCAGCAGGTCAATTTTTAGTTGTGTATGCCCCCCCAAAAATGAAATCATGGGTTCACACAAACATTTTTTATTAATTACATTCGTGTGTTTGTGTGTGTGCATGAATGCATGTCATAGCATGCATGTGGGAGGTCAGAAGACAGCTTGAGGGAGTCAGTTCTCTCCTTACCCATGTGAATGGCAGGGATCAAGCTTGGAGGCAAGAGCTTTTATCTGCCAAGCAAGCACACTCCTCTGTGCTGAAACAGTCAGTTCATTGCAGCTCAAGCCATACTAGGCTCAAAGGAGAAGCAACTCAAATAAATGGATATACATAACGGTGTCTAGTCTGCTTCTATTGCTGGGACAAAGACACCGTGACCAAAAGCAACTTGGGAAAGAAAAGTTGTATTTCAGCTTATAGCTTACAATCCATCTTGAAGGGAAGTCAGAGCAGGAACTTGGAGGTTAGAACTGAAGCGGAAGTTAGGGGTGATGGCACACGCCTTTAGTCCCAGCACTCTAGAAGCAGAGGCAGCCGGATCTCTGAGTTCTGGGACAGCCAGGGCTACACAGAGAAATGGTTTCAAAAAATAAAAAGAATTGAAGTAGAGACCACGGAAGAGTACTGCTTACTGGCTTGCTCCTTATGGCTTGCTCAGTTTGCTTTCTTATATACCCAGCACCATCTGCCTAGGGGTGGTACAGTCCACAGTGAGCTGGACTCTCTCTCCCATGTCAACCATTAACCATGCTCTATAGACTTGCCTACAGGCCATTTTCTCAGCTAAAGTTTCCTCTTCCCAGATGAACCTGGCCTGTGTCAGATTGACAAAAAAACTGATCAACTGTGGTATTTTTATATAGTGACAATGTGTAGCCATAAAAAAAAATAATAAAGTGTAGATTCATAGTATACAAACTTTTAAAATAGTATGGTACATGAAACAATTACAAAAAGACAACATGGCAATGTGATTCTCTGTAGTTTATGGATTCCAGCTCTGTTGCCCAGGCTAGCTTCAAGCTAATGATCTTCTTGTCTTACGCCTTTTTTTTTTTCTCTGTATAGTTTTGGTGCTTGTCCTGGATCTCGCTTTGTAACCCAGGCTGGCCTCAAACTCACAGAGATCCGCCTGGCTCTGCCTCCCCAGTGCTGGGATTAAAGGCGTGCACCACCATCGCCCGGATTGTCTTACGCTTTTAAGTGAAATAATTTAAGCTGTGAAGGTGCCACATCTAGTTGCTGGTTATGATTTGGGAATTTTTATGCTTTCTAATCTCTTGGTCGATAGAGCACTTTTTGTGATAAATCCTGTCTTCGATAGTTCCTCTAAGGTGGACTTATTGCTCACAGACAGGTGCAGCTTCATAATGCACTTTTTTCTTTCTCGTGATTGGAAGTACCCTAATGAGCAGAGTGTGTCATACTGACCCACCACACACAACTGCCTGGAGAGGTGACCTTGTGTACAGACCCATAGAGATGTGAACAGGCCTGCTGTCTCCAGGGCCCAGGAGAAGGGGCTGACGAGGGCCAGGAGCTCCAGATGTTCTGTACTTTTCAGAAAATGATCTGGCCGGACAGTGGTGGCGCACGCCTTTAATCCCAGCACTCGGGAGGCAGAGGCAGGCGGATCTCTGTGAGTTCGAGGCCAGCCTGGGCTACCAAGTGAGTTCCAGGAAAAGGCGCAAAGCTACACAGAGAAACCCTGTCTCGAAAAACCAAAAAAAAAAAAAAAAAAAAAAAACAGGCCGGGCGGTGGTGGCACACGCCTTTAATCCCAGCACTCGGGAGGCAGAGCCAGGCGGATCTCTGTGAGTTCGAGGCCAGCCTGGGCTACCAAGTGAGTTCCAGGAAAGGCGCAAAGCTACACAGAGAAACCCTGTCTCGAAAAACCAAAAAAAAAAAAAAAAAAAAAAAAAACCAGAAAATGATCTGTACTAGCCATATTTTCAGTTTTGAATGAGTAAACTTATGAAGTGTACAGCAAGCTAAAGTAAAAGAATAAATAGTGCGGGTGGGAGGTACACACCTTTAGTCCCAGAAATTGGGAGGCAGAGACGGGGGATCTGTGTAAATGCAATGCCACCCTGACTGACTGACGTGAGTTCCAGGCCAGCCCGGGCTGCATAGTGAGGGCCTGTCTGGAAACATCGGGGATAGGTAGCATGACACCTACATGGGGGAATGTCCTTTTTTTAAACATTTCTGTATTGATTCTTTGGGAATTTCACATCATGTACCTCAATTCCACTTACCTCCTGGTCCCCCCATATTCTCCCTTCACCCCTGCACCTCCTCACCAGAAAATAAAAAAAAAAATCAAACTAAAATAAAACATAACAAACACAAGAATAGAACAAAGCACCCCAAAACCCTCTTGGCTTCGTCTTTCCCACATCTCCAACACCTTTTCTCATCCTGGTGGCATAGGAACCAAAGTGTGTCTCACAGTGTACCCTTTTGTCCAGTCAGCTTTACTAGCAAATGTTCATTGCTATGAGTCATTGATCTGGTTCATGGCCTCTGGTTTCTGGCAGCGGGTATCCTTCTTTAAAGGTAGCCAGCTGGAATCTGCAAGACAGAGTCCCAGGCAGCGTAGTCTCCTCAGGTGAGACTTGCACATAAAAGAACAAAGAGCAGATAGAGAAAACATCAAATTGGGTGCTTACAACAGAAACTGATGGGGGGTGGAGGTGTCAACCGGAGCTCCAGGTGAGCTTTCTCTCCACGGCTGAACTTCCAACTCTCCACATCTTTCCCATTGCAGGCATTTTTATGCCATGAGATAAACAGTAGTAACTTGGGTTGGAAATTGTTTACCTTCTAGCTGTTCTCAAGGGCACAGTGTATTTACTCCTAGGCTGTTTTGCTATTCTCTGCTCCCTGTCACTGAGACTATAGTACATCCCCAGATAAGGAATCTTGGAGAACACTTGACATTGGAGTCTCTTCCAGAGCCAGCTTCTCAGTTCAAAACAGCATATGACAGTTTACCAATAGACTCTGCGTTTCACTACGTTTCCGGGCTGCAAGGCTTTTCTGAGGCTGGATCAGTCAAGCTGTTAGTTAGCGATCATCTGTTTCTCTCCTGATTACAGAAGAGATGGGTTGAGTTCGGGTGGTCAGAATAAACAGAAGGCCGATTTGTCTTTAAAGCGCACTGTGGGCATATAGCTCACTTGGGACAGAGCCAACCTTGCATCCATAAAGCCCTGACTACATAACACCCCCAACACTCAGCAGGGTCAGGAATTCCAGGTCATCAGAAAGAAGGAGCAACCAGGGTTTGAGTCAGTGGAGAGATGGCAGTTTTTTTCCTGAGGTCAGTAGCATCTTACCTGTGCTCTTTCTGAGTCTGTTTTAACCCCAATGCCTTATCCTTCTTTTGGCAGTAATCCAGTCCCTCATAGCACTGGTGAACGACCCCCAGCCTGAGCACCCACTCCGGGCTGACCTAGCTGAAGAATACTCTAAGGACCGTAAAAAATTCTGTAAGAATGCTGAAGAGTTTACAAAGAAATATGGGGAAAAGCGACCTGTGGACTAAAATCTGCCACGAGTGATTCCAGCAAGTTTGAGCAGAGCCCCGAGCAGTACTCAGATACCCCGCAAAGCAGGACTCTGTGGAAAATTGACACGGGCCACCACCTGGCGTCCGCTTGTGGCAGTTACTAACTTTCTACAGTTTTCTTAATCAAAAGTGGTCTAGGTAACCTGTAAAGAAGGATTAAAAAATTCAGATGTTCTAGTTCTGCTTGCTTTGTTTTAAAAATCACTGCTTTAGTCTACTTCAAAAGAATGGCATTTCTTTTCTTGCCCAGATTTACTCAAAGTTACAGTTAGCCCAGGTTTAAAAAAAAAAAAAAAAAAAAGTCCTGCTTCCCTCTCCCCATTGCCCTTTTCCCTTTCAATGCCCTTCCACAGACTAAGGCCCCAGCTCCCCACAGAAGTAGCAGCGCTGGCAGCTCTTCTCCTGTGCCACACTGCCTGTGGGTGATAGCTCAAGTCCCCCTCATGCCACCCTATTAATGTCCTTTAAAAAATTATAAAACAATAACAATGCCCCCACCCTCCCCCAAAACAGAATGTCTGTTCAAAGGGAAGCTGCTTTTACATAAAACCTTAGCAAGTGTTTCCACAGTAACAGACTCAATGGGCAGACCCCACGCCCCCAACCCGTGGTCAAGCTGTGTGTTCTTTGTAGAGAACCCTGCAGTACCAGGTTTGTGGTGACCTTGGAGGGAGGGTCTGCCAGCAGAGAACGCCGTGCACTTGTGTGAGGATGTCTTCAGTCAGCAGTCCTCCGTGCAGCTGTGGTAGACGGCCTGCTGCTCATCACAGGCAAAGCAAAAGCCAGGATAGTCTGTTGAAATCTCAAGCTTCACCACCACCAAGCTCTGCTGAGGTGTGCCAAGGAGCCCCAATTCCTCAGCACAGCAGGCCACCACTGTCTCCCTCCACATGGTTTGCCCTTTGTGGGGTCAGCATTGGTGGCTTCTGCTTTGTAACCAGCTGCCCCTTCCTCAGAGCAGCTGCTGATGCAGCCCAGGAACAGGATGGCCTTTCCAGAGTCAAGCTCCACTGGAAGCTCACTCAGTAATATCCTTTCAATATGTTTTATATTGTTTTCATTGCCTTTTTTTGTAGAAATAAAATTTGACCTTAGAATTTATCATCAAATGAACTTTGTCAAGATTTGAATGTTAATGTCTTTTCAAGGCAAGTGGGACTGTCCTTGAAGTAGTGGTGCCACCCTGAGGGAGCTGTCGGCCTGACTGCCTGTGTTCACCAACTCACTTAGGGTCTAGATCCTGTGGAGAAGATTGCCTCAAGAGCTCTAGCTTTCTGCTTTAACCGTAGTTCTTTAACTTCAGGGCTACCTGGGGCTCACCTACTTGGAAGACAGCTCTGGGTTTTGCCTATAAAGGAGTGAGACAGGTCCTCTCAGGCAGTGTAACACTATATAGTTTTCCAAGTGTTTGGCTCCTGTGGTGCATAAATGAACTGTGCTTTAGTTCTAGGTATGCATGGGGCAGGTTTCTGGAGACTTCATGTGCCCAGGATGGCCAGAGCACCGGGCCTGCGTTTCTACGTCTGTCTCTTCATTGGCAGAAAAGTGACAATGGATTTTATTTCATTCACGTTCAGATTTGTAATAAAATGCCAAATTCTGTCAGAAGTTGTCCAAACAAGCCACCATTTGTTCTTGTTGCTTTTCTGAATCTAGAGATAGTCCACCTGTCCGATAGCTTAGTTCTACCTGCCTGTTACCCCTCACTGCTCTCTGCTCACTATGGGAGGCACCCTTATGCCAGCAGCCCCTCTCAGGGACTCTCAGCCCTAGTACTGACAACCGTGGCCTGCCCTGGAAGCAGGGGTCTGGCTTGGAGTCAGTAGTGTCCCTCTGGGCTTGCATGCCTTGCTCTTTCTAGCCCTGTCCTGGAGCAGGCTTTGAGCAAGCTGGCAGCAGCTCTGGCTACTCCAAACTAAAGAAGAGCTGGATCCTTTAGAGAAGGGGATGTCTGTGAGCAGCCACCCACCCACCCACCCCTGACACAAGTTGGCTCAGGAATTCACATCCCCCTGGTTCCTTGAAGTGCCCGGGTCCTGTCCTGCTCTTTCCACGATGGCAGAGAATAGGCTTTCTAAGATGCTGTGACCCCATCTGTCCTTAATAAAAATGTTCTCAGACACTAGTTTGGGTGTATGGGTTTCTTCCTTTGGGGATGGACATGGCTGGGGGCCTGTGTTCTTGGAAACTAAAGAGAGTAGTGTCTAGGCCTCTGGTCTCTTTCCTCTGCTTGCCAGCCTCTAAAAGAGGTATACTGGTGTCTTGCCAGGTAGAAGTAGATGGGGCGGTCAACACTGGGAAAACTGCAGAGACTCCATGGATATCCAGGAGACTGACGGACACACAAGATGTCACTTCATCCTTCTAGCCCCAAGAAAATGTGAATTGCATTTAGCAAACATGAGAACTAGTCAAGAAGAGGGGTTTGATCAGGGGCTTGAACTGAAGAGTATCTGTCTCTGAATCATAGCCGTATCTGGAAACTCACTGGGTTTCTCAGACAGCTACTAAGACACGACAGCACCAGCCAGGCCTGTGACAAGTGGGCACCAGATGAAATCAGTTTACCTTCCCAGCTGGGTCTGCAGATCTTGCAGGAATACTTCCTGGGCCATCGTTTTACGTTGGCTTCCAGACATTGCTGGAGCCTTGCTGGCTTTGAACTCAGAATCCTCCTCCCCCTTGTTTCCCTTCAAATAAGTATTTAGCCCCTAAGTCCCGTACCCCCTGCATCCTGACTTGTTATTCTACTCCTGTAGCCAAAGGCCCAGTTTCCTTGCTGCTGAGTAAGCAGCTTGTAAGCCATTCAGCTTTGGCTTGGCATGTCACTTCCTCTAGCCTTAAGAGATGTGTCCCCCAACATGTTGTGCAGTCTACTCTAGGGAGAAGTCAGTTTGATTTGACCTGCCCTGTCCACGTCCTATGTGAGCAAACAGCACTGCCGCCCCCCCCCCCACCCCCCCACCCCCACCCCCAAAGTTGAGGAAGAAACGGACACTGTGACATGGTGCCCAGCCCAGGCCGCGTCCTGTAAATGGCATTTCCTGGGTGACTCAAGACAGCAATCCTGGAAAAGCAGACAGTACAGACCACTTACCTAGCACCATGCTCAAGGTCCAAAGAAGGAAGCTTACCTCTAAAGAACCTTCCTCTTCTTCCAGTGTGGCCCAGATCACACTGATTTGCCATTTGTAGGCTGGGCAGTATCCCAGCAGAGCCTTCCTTCTGAGCACTCCATTGTAGAATCACACTCTAGGAGCTGTCCCCTTGTACTAGGCCTCCAGCCAACAGAATGTGCGCCCGAACCACAGGAGTCAGGGGAGGAGGTGAATGGTAGACAGCAGAGGAATCACTGCCCAAGTCAAGGTCGAGGAAGTTTATAATAGACTGGAGCCAACAAGGGAGGAGGAGGAGGAACAATATCCCTTTAGAAAGCCACACGTCTTGTCAGGTGAGAACTTGCTTCCCTGACCCCCCAGTTCCAGGACAGATGTAGGCCATGTCAAGTCAGTTCAAAGCCCTGCTCCACAACCCCCACTTACAAGTTTGTGGTGGGGGCACAGGAAATCAAGTTGATAGGAAACTTACACAGCATGCATGAAACTCTGGGCTTAGTCCTAAAAACCATGTAAACTGGGAGTGATGATGCACAGCTGTAATCCCAGCATTGGCAGGAATAACGGTTCAATGCTACCCTTGGCAAGTATCAAGACAGTCTGGTTTTGCCTAGCATTCACGTGGTATTCCAGTTTCCTTTCCATCTTCCAAAATGGTGTAAAGCTGTGTTCCACCACCTTCCTATCTATTCCCTCCCGGCAGAGCATCCATAGAGCATATGTAGCTAGAATCCCAGTTTCTCGTTTCTGCAGAGGACTGCCTCTCCTGGGAAATGTAACCACTCCTATAACTTGCAGGGCCTATTTGACTCTGTTCCCTGAAGTGGCTTACATATAACAGGTTGCCTCCCCTCTTGGGATGACTAACACTGCTGCTGTAGTGTGTGTGGGTATGGGGGTGGAGTCTGAGGGGGGACAACTTTTGGGAGTTGGTTTTTTCTTTCCACAGTCCTGGGGATCAAACACAAGAACTTTTACACAATTGGCCATCTTGCTGGCCCTTCAGATAACCTCTTTTTAAATGAAACTTATGCTTGTTACCATATGCCTCCCCCAAACACCCTAATGAGGATCTTTTATTTCCCTCCCATTAAAAAAAAAGAAAAGAAATGTAAGCATTGCTAGGGCACAGCAGTCCCAGCTAACAGGTGATGGAGGAGGATCCCTTGAGCCCTGGACTCCAAGGCCAGTCTGAGCAACGTGTTAAGACCCCCATTTCAAAAACAAAACATATGGACCATGGTATGCATGTACCCCCTCCCAACACAAGTGCAAGCAATTTTTTAAGGGGTTTAAAGCATGAACAAAATTAAAATTAGAAAGTGAAGATATTTTTTGCATATCTTGGTTGGAGCCACAAAGGAGTTCTCTGCGCCCATTCTTATTTCTGAGAAGGATACCTGGACACTATAAACCAGCCAAATCTGAAAGACATTATTTTATTCACACCAACCTCTCTCCACTGCTCCACTAAACAGGTGGTTTTAACTGCAACATGAATTGGCACCAAATGCTCAGGCAGGCCTTAAATCCAGATGTCACAGACCAGCCCTGCCTGCAGCAGGCAAGGCTGCCCAATACTGCTCAGCGGCAAGGACCTGGGTTAGTGACTTGTCATTCTAAGAAACCAGACCCTGCTCCAAGGCCTGGTTCCATGCTGAACCAGAGCTCTAGCCCTGGCCTTCCTCCACTGTGAGAGGCAGTTCGTAGCTAGCCTTTGGTGTCAGGGTAGGGAAGGCTCCAGGAAGGGCTCAAGAGTTGCCTCACAGGGGACCCCTTCCCCGGGCCTTTTGGAATCCAGGTCGTCTAGGGCGCAGAGTTGCACACCATTCTGGGCCAGCCGAGCCCGCAAGGTGGGTGCAGTGAGGACGTGCAGCTCATGCAACCGCTCCCAAGAACAAGAGAAAGCGTCGGGGCCTTCACCGCAGCCCCCTGCTGGAGGCACACTGGGGTATCCTGGGTGTGCCATCAGTTCGGCAGTCAGGGCACGGCCAGCAGGGATATCTTCGAGGGCCCGTGCCAGTGACGCCAAGACTCGGTGAGCAGACATGTGGCGGCCACAAGTGCTCAGGCCCACAAAGGCGTCGGTCCACCTGTGAGTGCCACAACAGAGGTGTTGCCTAAGTTCCGGTAGGGCTAGGCGGAGGGTGAAGCAGGACAGCAGGTCAATTCCTAACTTTTTTGGCTGAGAAAAGGGCACATCTGGCCAAGTGAACGCACTAGGACCTTTGGGGACTCGGCAGGGTTGGATAGGGTGGAGGAGGGCGGTGCTCACCGCAGGCCGTGGCGGGAGAAGGGGCCCATGGCAGCCCGGGCATCGCGCTCCACAGTGCAGGCGAAGGCACGCGCTGGTGCTTCCAGCCACGAGCAGCTGCCCACGCCGCATTCTACTGGCAGCCGTGTGAAGCGCACCCCGAACGCCTGCAGAGCCTCGGCGAACACCTGACACACTCCTGCTTGGAGGGGTGGGCTCAGCATCGACCTCCCACCAACCCTGGAAGGCAGCCCCCACCCCCACCCCCATCAGGGCGCTTCAATCCGCCTACCTGGGAGCACGTGCACGTGCTGGTGCCCGTCTACGTGCGTGGGGGACCTGCCCAACAACTCCCGGAAGCGGCTGAGTTGAGCTTCCAGTTCCTCCCGCACCTGGAGGGGCACAGATACCTTGAACTTCTGGAAGCAGCCACAAAACGAAGAGCTCCGTTTGGTGCTACGGTGTGACTGCTCCAGTGTTTGAACTAGGAGCGTATCCAGCGCCCGCGTTTGCCCCAACGACTTCCTTTAAAACCTCTGGGCTGAGCTTTGAGGATCTTGATGAGCATCCTCCTGCAGCCACGCCTCCGCACCTGGGGCAAAGCAACGTCTCCAGCCGCTAAGGCCTCCCGAAATCCCATCTTCCCGAGGAAGAAGCCTTCTGGGCTGAGGAGCGACGAGGCGTTGTGGCGGGCCGGACCCACAGGACGGCCCTCAGACAGGTTGGCGTGGAGGCCCGTGGGAATGCTGTGTCTGCAGGCGGAGCGCGAGAGCGAGCAGTCTGCCACCGAGCGGGCGGCCCCCCCAAGCCCGCCCGGCCCTGCGGGGGGCCGCCCTTACCTGCGGGCCAGCTCGGCCGCGCTCTCTGCGGCTGTGCCGTTGACCAGCAGTGACACGCTGGTCACAGTTCCTGCCAGGAAGGCCTCCACGATGCCCTCATCGCGCCTCGGGCAGTAACCAAAGTCATCAGCGGTGACAACCAGCTGCACGCGGGGCCAAGCCATTGCTGCCGAACGCCGTCTGGAGACCGGAGGGAACGGGCTGCAGCGCCCGGACTCCGCCCTGAGCGCTGCCGAGGCCCCACCCCGACGCACACGCCTAAATGCGACTGCACGCCGCCGCTGCTTTTGCCACCTAGAGGTCTCTGCGAGTGCTGCAAACGCCCGGGTCAACTGCTCTGCAAATTTTTTTTGGCCCATGTCTATATCCATCTCTCTCTCCTCTCTCTCCTCTCTCTCACTATGTCTTTCTCTGTCTCTGTTTCTGTCTCTCTCTCTCTCGTCTCTCCCCTCCCCCTCTCCTCTCTCCCCCTCCTCTCCCCTCTCCCCCCTCCTCTCTCTCTCTCCCTTCCCCTCTCCCCTCTCCTCTCTCCCCCCTCTCCCCCCTCTCCCCTCTCCTCTCTCCCCCTCTCCCCTCTCCTCTCTCCCCCCTCTCCCCTCCCCCTCTCCCCCTCTCCCCTCTCCTCCCCACTCCCCCCTCTCCTCCCCCCTCTCCGCCTCTCCTCTCCCCTCTCTCCTCTCCTCCCTCTCCCCCTCTCCTCTCCCCTCTCCTCCCTCCTCCCTCTCTCCTCCCTCCTCCCTCTCTCCTCCCTCTCTCTCTACCTTCTCTCCTCTCTCCCCTCCCCCTCCCCCTCTTCCCTCCCCTCTTCTCTCACCCCCCTCCCCCTCCCCCTCTCCTCTCTCTCCCCCCTCTCTCCTCTCTCTTTTCTCCTCTCTCTCCTCCCCTCCCCCCCCGCTCCCCCTCCCCTCCCCCCTCTCTCCCCTCCCCTCCTCTCTCTCTCTCTCTCTCTCTCTCTCTCTCTCATATGTGTTTGGACCCGCTGAGACTAGGAAAAGGCATAGGATCCCCTGGAACTGTAGTTAGTAGATGGTTGTGATTGATCCACATACGAACACATGCTGGGACCCAAACTCCAGTCTTTTGCAAGAGCAGTAAGCTCTTTACCACTGAGCTAGCTCTAGCTCTAAAAGAAAATTGATTTTTGAAAAGTAATTTTTTTAATAGTGAAAACAAGAGAAATACTCAAGAAAAATTCCCCTTGCTCTTCTCTACCATTGCTAAGTTTCTGGGCCATGTACTGTCATTCCGTTATTTTCTCTTCTCCGTCACTAAGGGATGATGCCAGGTTATTTCATCCTTGTGATGTTGATTTTCTTTGTTTTTATGCAGTGCCTATGAGCTTTTTCTTGTTATTAGATGTTTTTACTTTTTTTCAAATAGTCTGTTCCTCACTGGCTCGGGGAGGGGGGGGGACACACGGGACTTTTTCTTAGTAAAAGCTCTATTTTTTTTTTTTTTCTTCCTGAGACAGGTTTCTCTGTGTGGCCCTGGCTGTCCTGGAACTCACTCTGACCAGGCTGGCCTGGAACTGATCTGCCTGCCTCTGCCTCCTCAGTGCTGGGATTAAAGGTATGGCCGCCACTGCCTGGATGTAAAAGCTCTACATGACAGGAACACAAGCATGCAGACCAGTGGCTACGCTGGAGAAAGCCTGAGCCCATTTTCACCTCGAGCTGCAGGGAACTTTTTCAGCACCTCACGTTTGCTCTTTGTCCAGTAAGGTTTTCTTACCCATGACTTACCAATAGTCACCATGGTGACAGCCAGCATTTGCTTGGTAATGTGGCTGTCTTGATATTGTTTGAAACACAGTCTTACGTATCCCAGGTTGACCTCACTAATTCATTCAGCTGGGGCTAGCCTTGAACTTCTGACCCTTGCATGTGCCAGCACACCTGGTACAGGGAATTGAACCAAAGACTTCATGCACGTTAGGCAAACCCTCTGCCAACTGAGCAAACACTGAGCATGCCCAGCTTGTCTTGGTTTCTCTTGTAGAATGCCTGTTACTCAAATCAAGCCTGTGATATTGGTAATTTTGTTTCTGTTTTACAGCCAAGGAACCTGAAGACTCACCAGAGAAGTGAGTGGAGCAAGAACTGTCCTCTACAGATGGGAGCTTAACCTGTTCTGGCTCCTCCCACCCTATCTGACCCCCTGGATCAGGCAGAGGGGAAAGAGTAGAGTTTAATCACAACAGTACCTGATGATGCTTTGTAAGGGTTGGAGGCCTCAAAGTACCTTTCAGCCAAGTTCCTGGCGTAAACACTGCTGTGTCCGGTCATAGTGATTGTTGAACCATCAGGCAACATCCAGCCACTGTGCCCCTCTGGGAGGCTGCTCTCTGAAAGGCCAGAGGCCTTGAGGCCCTGGGCCCTGAGAACCATAGATGGAGAAGAGGAACTACTAAGCACTTATTGTGCTGGGAGTGAATGGAGTCATTAGAGATCAGGGCTCACAGCTTTAATGTCTGCCCTAAAGAAGTACCAGCTGTTAGACGAGAAAGACAACGTGGCTGTGAATCTGTTGGGAATGACAAGCTTCTGTGATGAAGGGAAAAGAAAAAAATTGAGGTGAGTTTATATGGGGTTTCCATAAGGTGCAATGTGTATTGAAAGATCTTTTGGGTGGTGGAGCACGCCTTTAATCCCAGCACTCAAGAGGCAGAGGCAGGTGAGTCTCTGAGTTCAAGGCCAGCCTGGTCTACACAGAGTGAGTTCCAGGACAGCCAGGGCTGCACAGAGAAGCCCTGTCTCGAAAAACCTATATATAATGTAATACTCACTTGTGGAAGGGTGCTCAGCTCAATTTACAGACGAGGAGGCGGTGTTGAGAGGCTGAGTCACATCAGCAAAACAAACCAAAAACAGGGACAGGAATTGAAGCTAGATCTGTGTGGAAAACCAGGACTCTTCACTGCTTCCAAAAAGAAAGACTTGAGAAGGAAAATGCTGGCTAGTCCACACTAGCTGAGGGAAGGAAGCCAACAAGAGTCCAAGTCTGTGCAGCGACCAGGGATGAGCTGAGGAAGGTGTTTGTGTCATAAGTGGAGGCTGTGGCTTTCACCGTGAGGATTAGAGAAGCAAGCCCCAGACTCAGACCCCTTGGCAGAATAAAGTCAAATCTATAAACATACCCGAGCACGGTTTAGCTGGCTTGACAGAAAAAGCCCGCCCAGTGGGGGAGGAGCCAGTGTGGGCCCCACCCCCAACCATTGTGTCGGGGAAGATAATGAACGGAGGCCAGGTTCTGGCCAATCAGAATGAAGTATGTAAATCAGCACCCTCAGGGGCCGCGGGCGGGATTCCAGGGCACTGTGCGGTAGTCCTTAAACCCCTGCTCACCTAGGGAACCCCAGAAGCACAGAGGAGACGCTGGTGAGCTGGTGGGGGCGCCAAGGCGCCTCTGGTCTGGAAAACTTGTTGGACACACTAGTCGTCCCAGACAGTTGCAAACAGAGGGCAGCTGACCGCAGATGCCTGGCAGGTCCCAGCAGAGAAGGGTGGAATGTCTGAAGGACACAGTGTACAGGGAGTGAGGGACCCATAGAGGCCTGGATCTACCTTTACTTCCTCTCCCGCCCTGTACAGAGGAGTCTGCTTCTGTGCTGTCGAACCTGAGAAAGGAAGCAGAAAACAAATTTAATTACCCACATCATGGCAAGGTACCGCCACCACTCAGGATATCTGGCTGATGACGAGGCTGGTCACAACACCTACATGGCTCCAGTAAGTTTGTCCAGCTGACCCGACATTAGTGTCTGGACCACTTCCACCGCTTATCTCCAGTTATCTCACTGGGTCACCTGGTAACACCCTGATTTTAGCTCTGGCTCCCCTTATTCCTGCCTGCCGAGCCCTGATCCCCCTTTCCGCGGCCCTCAGGTGGTACTTGGGTGGGCTGGAAGATCTGAGGAGGAGCATGGAGTCCACGTGGAGACTCAAGCTGGAGAAGCAGGCTCAAGTCCTCAAGTGTAGTGCCCCAGGGAAGACAATGCAGGGTTGTGCTAGAGACAGGAGGAGGTAGAGGAGGAGGAAGGGCCTCATAACTGCCCTCTCATACCATGAACACAGAATTCCACTTTCAGGCTCCCAGCTAGGCCTGGCATATATGAAATATAGGCATTGGGGACCTTCAGGTCACCCCTACTTTGCAGAGAAGGCCTGAGAGGAGCTGTTTTGAGCACTGTCACACAGCCTGAAGGTAGCAGAGCTGGGATTCAAACCCAGGATTACCAGACTTTTAATGTCATTCAGAGCTGTGAGATGGTTCAGTGAATTAAGGCACTTGGCATCAAAATGGATGGCCTGAGTTTCATCCTCATGATCCACACAGTAGAAGGAGAGAACCAGTTACAACCAGTTGTCCTTTGACCTCCACACATGCACTAAGGCACACATGCACCCACAGATGCTATAAAAAATCAAATGCAGTTCAGTGGTTGAACATTTGCAGAAGCATGTTCAAGGCCCTGGGTTCAAGCCCCAGCACCAACAAACCTAAAAAGAGAAAAAGTCTTTCTCATTGTTCAGTCCCACCCAGCTCCTAATAGCACCTTAGGAGGACTCCAGAAATAACCCCCACCCCTTGCAGAGCATTCTGCCTGCTATGACAAGTCTGTCTGTTCAGATGCAGCTGCACAAGAAGCACCTGTTGCCAGAAAGGGGGTCAGCCTGCAGACTTGGACGTGTGCCACACCTACCATCGATGAACCGATACTCAGAGCACCAGGGCCACCAGCAAAAGCCTAGGCGCCCTCAGGTGTTTGGCACCTTCCTGGATTTCCTGACAGAGGGACAGGTACTGGAAAGCTTGCAGGCAGTGGTGGAACAGGCATCAGAGCGTTTGGCTGCCACGAAGACAGAGGCTGGAGTGCCACTGGTGGATGTGCAAGACCCGTTGGAAGTGCCAAGTGGTAGGCAGCGGGCTCGAGCCAGACCCAGCATCAACTCTGTGCATCGGCGCCGCACTCGGCCCACACTGTGTGCTGGGCGCCCAAACAATTACCCATCTTGCTCCAGCTCCGTGTCTGACTGCCACAGCAGCATCACAGCTGACTGGCTGGGCTCCCACAGCCAGGACAGTGACCCTGGTGCCCGAGGCATAGGCTCACTGCCACCTATGAGGGACAAACTCCTGCTTGAGAAAAACCTCAAGAGGCTACTGCGTCTGGAGAACAAAGGGGTGAGATCTGTTGCCATGGCTAAAGCTGGCGGGCGCAGGGTGGGCCTGAGCTCAGGGCTGGGGTTGTTAGGCCTGGTTGGACACTGCTCAGTCTTCCTTTCTCTTTGCAGAAAGGCCTGAATCAATCCTGCTCCCGGAGGGATTCTCTGCTGTGGGACTCACTGGGCAGCCAGACCAGCAGTCAGTGGACCCGGGAGCAGCCCCTGTCTTGGGTCACTAGGCTTTGGGGCTCCAGCTCAACCACCCCTGAAACATCAGAGTTGGGACTCGGAGAACAGGAGATGATTTTCCTTAAAGAAGAGTTAAACAAGGAGATGAAGTCACTGTTAAACCAGCCAGCATCCTTCAATGTGCCTGCCTATTGTTCACTCAGGGAACCCCATTGTTACCCTGGACCTTTCTGGCTGAGCATCGCCTCTTTCCTGCCCTGCAGCGTGTGGTCAGCCAGGCGGTAGACAAGCTCAGCCATGCCTGCCGCCACGATGGCTTCCCCTCTCTTCTCTGTTGCCTCGGAGCCCAACTCAGTGCTTGCCTGGGAACTCTGATCTTCTGCAGCCAGACTCTAAGGCATCCATACCCACCAGCAGGGAGGATGGGGTGGAGCCTTGTGATTCTCCCACCACAGCCTCCAGCCTTAAGACAGCTCGCAAGAAAAGCAAGGGCAGACGGGAGTCCCCCTCCATGTCTAACGCCCAGATGACTACCAGATTCAGGCTCAAGGTGACACCTACACAAGTGCCTAACGTCCCTAGCCCCTCCCTCCATTCCATGCAGGAGTCCCCTGACTCCGATCCCAAACTGCAGAAACTGCAGAAACCACCTGTGGCCCTGAGCTCCAACCAGATAACTCAGCCCCGTCACGGCCTGCACCTCACCCCTGCCCGCCCCTGGGATCACAGTGGAGGTTGCCTCTGGCCGCATCAGGGGCCCGATCTAGCTAGCATCCTTTTCCCTCCCTCCCCCTTCCCTGTGTTCTCCCCACGCCTTTTTTGGGAAAAAGCTTCTCCCTTCCTCTACCGCAGTGTGTCCAGAGGTGGCCTCAAGAGTAGGGCTGGAGGTCTTAGAAGAACATTCTCAGGGAGAAGGGCTCCTTCCCCCACATCTGGTAGCCGCTGTCGCTGATGTCCAAGGACAAGATCTCTTGCCCTGAATTGCAGAAATCTTCTGGGGTAGATACAAGCTGCTGGGGAACAGGAAACCTAGTCTACCTATTTTCCCAGGGGTTGTCAAAGATTAATAAAGGCTATTTTTACCCTGCGATTTTTTTTTCTCCCTGAAACAGGGTATCATGTAGCCTAGTCTGGTCTTTCAAATTCATTCCATAGTAGGGGATGACCTTGGGCTCCTGATATTCTTGCCTTTACCTCCTAAATGCTGGGATTACAGGCATGCATCACCATGCCTGCAATTTGGGTATTTTTTAAAATTATTGTTTGTGAGCCTCCCCCCGAGGAGAGTTATCCGAGTTATCTGGTTTTTCGAGATAGAGTTTCTCTGTGTAGCTCTGACTGTCTTGGAACTCTCTCTGTAGACCAGACTGGCCTTGAACTCAGAGAGTCCCCTACTTCTGCCTCTCAAGTGCTGGGATCAAAGGCGAGTGCCACCACCACCTGGCTTTGTGAATCTCAGAGACCCTCCCACATGTCTCCTATGAACAGGAGCCTTTACCAAGAGCACCACCCCTGTATTCTAGGGTCGAGTAGGTCAAGCTGTCCTAATCCAGCTGTAGGACTCTCTAGTCTTTCTGCTGGGTAAAGGGGACATTGGTCAGGAAATATATATGAAGACATAGGGGGCCTGACCCTGGGGGTCCTGGACGTCTCTCAAACCCTCATCATCAGGCTCAGATGGGATTCCTCCTGCACACCAGCTTGCAGGAGCCCAGGCTGCCCAGGCTGGTGGGCACTGCTCTAGCCCTGACAGGTGAGGCGTGGAGAATGAATGTCGTGGCAGAGCAGGTGTGGCAGGTCTGTATCCTAGTGTGATGTGTGTGTGTGTGTGTGTGTGTGTGTGTGTGTGTGTGTGTGTGTGTGGCCCCCTGTCTGTAACAGGGACAATTGGTACAGCTGCCAGGAAGGCACAGAAATGTGCTTTCTCAGGGCAGCAGAGGGATGGCAGCAACAGGGCTAAATGTCTCCCTTTCCTTCTTGCCTGTTGCACAGAGCCCTGGCACAAAGTTCCCGAAAAAGAAGCCTCTGCCGTCCATCTCATCTGTGTCCAGCTTGTCCTACATCTCTAACCCCTGGTTTGAGGAGCTCACTAGCTTTTTGGTTGAGAAGGCAGTCTCTTTGCTTCTCTACAAGTACAAGTTTGAGGAAAGCCTCACTAAGCAACTTGGCTTCATCTCCTTTCCTGTCACTGAGGTTCTCATGGACATCTTTCTGGGCTTCAAGAAGGTGAAGGGCAGCCACATCCGTTTGTCCTCAGACATCAACTGGACCCGCCTTCTGCGCAAATTGGAAGAAGCCGAGTTGGCAAGGCAGGCCACGAGGCATGCCTCCAGGCCAGCAGCCTCCCACCCCCAGTACCTCCCGTGTTGGCACCTCCCGCCATAGCTCAGAATCTCCCTCCGTGCCACCCAAGCTTACTGGTGACGCCACGCAGGATCAGAGTGCAGGGTCCCGATTCTCCCTCCGACCTGAGTTGCCAATCCGCCAGCTGCTCAGCCCTCGGGATCCTGGTACAAGGGCCAGGAACAGATGCCCAGGAGCCCTTCAGAGTCCAAGCTGTCTGTGTTCAGCGCTGGTATGGGCTCCAGATCCTCCCAGTCCAAGGAAATAGTAAATACTGAAGAGGGTGAGGACAGTGATGAGGAGGAGGAGGGGGGAAGTGAAGAAGATGATCTCAAGAATTCCTCTGAGGATGAGCAGCCTTAGGTTAGCCTGCCTGAGCCTGAGGTGGAGGACTTTATCAACGAGTCCATTGTAAAGAGCCCCAATGACTCCCCATGAGACCCCTGGAAGCCACACAGAGTAGTCCCCTCTTTGCCTCCTCCTGCCCTATCCCAGTAGCCGGCCCCCCGCCAGCCCCCTGTCCTGAGTAAGGGTCAGACAAACCAGTGCTCAGCAAGAGTTCTGCCAATGTTATCAAAGGAGCCAAGAGACAAATGGAAATAAATGCCATGTTGATGGACACAGTTGTCTGGTCCTGGGTGTGTTGTATCTTTCCTTGCGCCTGGATGGATGCCTACCCTTGAATAGCACCCTGCAGGGTGAGCCAGCCTGTGATGTTACATACTTTTCTTTGGGATACAAGACAGAGCACTGAAGACACACCAAAGGAATAACTTGGTGAACCAGTGATTTTATTGGGTTTACAGGGGAATGGATGAGTGATTGCTTACAGGAGTGTGTGACCTCCAAACAGCTCCATCACCAAAAAGTCTCATGCCAGTTTGGATAATGACGACAATAGCTCCATAGACAGGACTCCCCCACCCCGCCCCCAGCCGAGGCCCCACTTCTTCCATACTGTATAGACTCTAGTACAGTGGTTCTCAACAGTCCTAATGCTACGGCCCTTAGTACAGTTCCTCATGCTGTGGTGACCCCTCCACCATAAAAATTATTTTTGTTGCTATTTCATAACTGTAATTTTGCTGTTGTTATGAATTGTGATGTAAACATCTGATATTTAGATGGTCTTAGGCAACCCCTGTGAAAGCGTCATTCAACTCCCAACAGGTTGAGAACCACTGTTCTAGTATGTTCAGAGACCAGGAGACCATGTGCACCGTGGGCAGAATAACACTTGGAGAAGAAGTGTAGGAGAAGTGGCTGTGTCCCCAGATGCAGGTCCCTCCACATCTGTGTCAAAGGGCTCAGTCTTGAGAGGCCTTGGATAGTCTCAGCTGCTCTGATGAAGACAATAATGGCTGTTATGCTTAGAGGACAGTGTCTGCAGAACTGGTGCAGTGGGCCTCAATTTATAGAATGAATCTCTTTATAAATATGTATAGGAAGGGGTTTATTAGAAAGATTAACAGCTCCCAGAGGTCCTGAGTTCAATTCCCAGCAACCACATGGTGGCTCACAGCCATCTGTAATGAGATCTGGTGCCCTCTTCTGTCATGAAGGCATACATGCAGACAGAACACTGTGTACATAATAAATAAATAAATCTTTAAAAAAAAAAAAGAAAGATTAACAGGCTGTGGTCCAGCTGGTCCGAAAATGGCTGGCTGTGAACGGAAAGTCCAAGATTCTAGGCGTTGTTGTGTGCACAAGCCTGGGTGTCTCAGCTGTTCCTCAGTACACACTGGAGTCCTGAAGAAGCAGGCTCTAATGCCAGTGAAGAAATGGACTTGCTAGCAAGGTGAGAGCAAGTAGGCAAAGAGCAAAAGCTCCCTTCTTCCATGTCCGTATATGGGCTTCCAGCAGAAGGCATGGCTCAGATTAGATCTGGATTAAAGATCTGGAATAAAGATATGTCTTCTTGGCCAGGGGTGGTGGTGGCGGCGGTGGTGGCGCATGCCTTTAATCCCAGCACTCGGGAGGCAGGAGCAGGTGGATCTCTGAGTTTGAGGCCAGCCTGGGCTGCAGATGGAGTTCCACGACAGCTAGAACTGTTACACAGAGAAACTTTGTCTCAAAAAACAGAAACAAACAAATAAACAAAAAAGATATGTGTTCTTGCCTCAAAGATCCAGATTAGAAGTTGTAGCATGAATCCTAATTGGTTTTAATAAAACCCGAAGCCAGGGATCAGGGTAAATGCAGAAAGATCAGAGACACAAAGGAACGAGCCACAGCCACCTCTCACCTCACCAACTCCTCAGCCGAAAGGACTGAGCCCCTGTCTCCTCCCGCCTGGTATTCCTTTCTCCGCCCAGCCATGTCACTTCCTGTCTCAACCTCCCTAGTGCTGGGATTAAAGGTGTGTGCCACCACTGCCTGGCCTCTATGACTAACTAGTTTTGCCCTCTGGTCTTCAGTCAAGCTTTATGTGTTAGAGCACAAAATATCACCACAAGAAGTGGATCTCTCCACTTCAAATGAAGCAGAAATTCCTCACAGGTGTGTCCTCTATTTTTGGGTTTTAGTTAATTCTGGATGTAGTTAAGTTAACAACTAAGAAAAGCCACCACAGAAGGTCTTCCTGGAAGGGTCTGCAGCTCCTACTGACTGGCAGCTTTCCTGCCAGAGCTCTCCTAGAGATGTGGCTCAGTTGGAGTGCTTGCTGTGGATGCACAAAGCCCTGGGCTCTATTTCCAGTACCATTCAAACTAGATACAGTGGCAGTCCAGAAACCCCTGCACTTGGGAGGTGGAGCAGCAGGGTTAGAAGTTTAAGGTCGTCCTTGGCTATATAGCAAGTCCAAGGCAGGCTTGTGATACATGAGACCCTTGCCTCAAAATTAGCAAATAAATGCATGCACATGTGCGTGTGCGCGCATGCGCGCACACACACCCATATCTAGTGGACCTGTGTTGCCTCTCCCTGAGGCATACACCCTCAAAGGCTCCTCTGATTCATAGAGATCAGGCCCTTTTGGCCATACTTGACCACTTAGGGACCCGGAAAGCCCCAGGATATGGAGAGGAAGCAACTATGGCGCTCACTCTGGAGACGGGCGAGTGAAACATGGTCACACCTACAGCCTTATATTCAAGGAGAGCTTGGCTGTCATTCTGCAGGACCAAGATCCTAAGGTTGGTGGATCAGGGACCCATTTATAGCAGAGGCCATTATAGCCCAGTGGTACCTTGTTGCTATGTCCCATTGACCTGACCCTGTTCCAAGCTAGGACTGTAGTTAGGACAAACCAAAAGATTCTGGTTATTTGCACTGGTCACTGAAAACATATGTAGATGATGGAGAGTGACCTTTGACTACCCTTCTAGAGACAAAATATCTTGTCAGAAGACACCTGCCAAGAGGGAGGCCCTTGGTTTTCAAAGACAATTACTATCACTGTCAGTTCCCATTGCCAAGTCCAAAAAGAGAGCCTTGCTCTGCCACAGCCTCAGAGATGCACATCTCTGGGGAGACTGGGAGAAACCCTTCGGGAATCACTAATACTTTATGCTAGAAACATGGCGTCTTTAGCAAGACTTAAGTGGCTTCAAGGGTAGTGATCATGCCATCGAGGTTGACAGGCTAAAGTTCATGTCACTGTTTTCAGCTGTTCGTGTCTAAAGCTGGAACATTCTAAATCAGCTCTCTCCCTACAGGGTCTCTCCTGCGTGCAGCCTCTCTAGATTCAGTCATCTAGCCTGAATTTTACCTCTGTCTCTCTCTTTCTTCTGTCCTTCTTTCCTTTCCTTCTTTCTTTCCTTATTTTATGTGTATGGTTTTTTGTTTGTTTGTTTGTTTGCGTTGTATGTCTGCCCACCAGAAGAGAACAACAGATCCCATGGACCGACAGTTGGAGACAGTTGTAAGCTTCCATGTTGGTGCTGGGAATTGAACCTGGGACCTCTGGAAGAGCAACCAGTGCTCTTAATTGCTGAGCCATCTCTCCAGCCCTGAATTGTAGTTTTCGTAAACCTCAGAGACTTTCTAGAAGGAGTAAGAACTGCTGAAGTTTTTGAGGCTGCAGCTGAGAAGCCCCCCAATGCTTCCCTCTTCTGTTGTTCCGTTGGTTAGAGTCACAATGTCTGCACAGATTCAAGAGCAGAGGAAATGGACACTGTTGCTCAAATTTCTAAAATAGTCTTTAAAAAAAAACCCGGAGCTAGATACTGGAGTAAATGCTGAAAGATCAGAGAGGCAAAGGAACAAGCCACCTCACCAACTCCACAAATCCTCTGACTGTCTCTGAGTCCCCTGCTGAAAGGGGTCCAGCTGAAAAAGCCTTAGTCCTGTCTCCTCACGCCTGATATACCTTTCTCCGCCCAGCCATGTCACTTCCTTTTTAGTGCTGGGATTAAAGGCATGTGTGCTTCCCAAGCAAAAGCATGAGATCTCAAGTGCTGTGATTAAAGAGGTGTGACTCTCAAGTGCTAGGATTAAAGGTGTGGCCACCACTGCCTGGTTCTGTTTCTCTCCTAGACTGATTCAATCTCATCTAGTCCAGGGTGGCTTTGAACTCACAAAGATCCAGACAGATCTCTGTCTCCTGAGTGCTAGGATTAAAGGTATGTGCCACCACTGCCTGGCATCTGTGTTTAATCTAGTGGATTGTTCTGTTCTCTGATCTTTAGGCAAATTTTATTAGGATACACAGTAAATCACCACATTTCTCTTGTTTTGTCTAAAATAATAAAAGGTTATAACTAATATAAGAAAAACTATATACAATAAGTACAATAAGTATATACAATATATACAGTCAAGAATTACATTAACAATGTCCAGTCCATAAACATTTGACAGATTCAGAGAAAATACTCCGTTATTTATGCTATTTTGGTGAGTCTAAAATGTTGTACCACCGGGTGGTGGTGGTGGCGCACGCCTTTAATCCCAGTACTCGGGAGACAGAGGCAGGTGGATCTCTGTGAGTTTGAGGCCAGCCTGGTCTACAGAGCGAGATCCAGGAAAGGCACAAAGCTACACAGAGAAATCCTGTCTCGGAAAAAAAAAAAAAAAAAAACAACAAAATAAATAAATAAATAAAATGTTGGACCTAATTCACTTTCTATCCTAACTTGTATTACCAACCAAAAACTATCTTTTGATGTTTTCTTTCAAACTTATACACTTTACACCTCTTTAGTGAGTTTCTTTTCTGGATTCGTTAACAAGGAAAACTATAACCATAACTATCTAGTTTTCAACTCCATCAGAGATCCGAGAAGGAAATAATATTTACTGAGTAAGCAGGAAGTGCAAACATGCTACTTCCAAAAATTTTAAGAAATGACAGAAACAGCTGGCTGCCTGGACAGTGACCTGAGGTTTCTCTGCAATGTTGGGGCATCCATCTTTGGCCTACAGGCCTAGCATATCTGACAGACTCATCTGTGAAGCAGGATTTTCTAAAGGGCCTTCCTACCTTGTCTTGGCAAGGATCAGCAGTCCTGTCTTTTGTGTCCTGCTTGTCCATTTTGGACAGCATACTGTCAGCAGTCAAGGCAAAGGCATTTTCTTGCCTAGTGGCTAACTTGCCACAATGAAAGTAAACTCCATGTGGAGTTTCTTCTATGCCTATCATCTTCTCTGAAGTAGATTGGTGCTGTCAGGAGCAGA